ATATTCACAAAAATATTTATACCATACTTACATACATATATATAATAAAAGTAGCAACTTCATAAATAAAATTTTATACATACATAGTTTTGGTTATACAAAGTACTTCGAAGCTGATATTCCGTGGGTGCCAATAAAAATTTAACAAACACTAAGTTAACAATATCTATTACTATACAGTTATAAGTTAATATTCACAAAAATATTTATACCATACTTACACATATATATATATATATATATATATATATATATATATATATATATATATATATATATAATAAAAGTAGCAACTTCATAAATAAAATTTTTACATTAAATCAAATTATAAGAATTACACGTTGATGCCACAACACATGTGCCAACCAATATTATTATCACGTCGTAAAACACTTTAAAACCTTATTTTAATTTAATTTTATTGTAACATATAAAATACGCGCTGAAATACATATTCCGCAAACGATATTGAGACCGCGCAAATGTAATAATAATGATAATAATAATAAATAATAACTATATTATAATAGAAAGGCGTAGGGAAGTGACGACCCCATCGCCCGCTGACGTAACGGTTATGTGACAAAACCGCTACGTCAGCGCAGTCAGTCAGCACCTTGCCAAGAGATGTTAGTGCCGTGCCTCGGCAAAAATTGAAGGTGCAAAGGCCCGCTTGTGCACATGGCCTCAACATGAAACGGCGCCGGGTCTGGGCGTCTCCCGCTAAATGTCGCCCTAAAAATGGATGATGGAATTAAATAGAACGCGCAAAGGGCCGCTGCCTGGAGGTCGCCAGGGCGCGTCTGGAGCTGGCGCTGGACGCGGCAGCATGCGAACCGCCAGCCAAGCGCGAGGTACTGCACGACCACCCAGCAGCCCCTCGCATCCATCATCCCCACCAGCTGGCTTGGTGTCGGCAGGGTCTTCGCGGGCCCAGCAATCGGCACCCGCCTCTGGTGGAGTACGCCGCATGCGTTGGACAACCCAGATGAACAGCAACGCATTGCGGGCGTATTTTAGGGCGAAAGGGGGAGAAACTGGATGTTTGGCGTATCGGGCTAGGATGCATCGTCTTTTTGCTGAGCTGGAGCAATCTTTAACCGTCATAGAGCGAAACCTGGCAGACCGAGTTCGGTATATCTTGCGCTCAAATATATTTGATGTCGCCGAACTCGAACGGCTACGACGTGAGGCTGTTCCCTCGTCGGATGAGAATGCTACGGCTGAGGATGCGGCGCCACAACTTGCTGAGCAACCCGCAAACGTGGATGCCGCCGTGAATACGCCAGTTGTGGTTGATTCAAACGATGATGGAACAGTCGCCCAGGAACTGGAATTAGAGCATATGAGGAGTACATTGGAAGAGGCGATTGTGGAAACGCGCAGTACGCCTCTCGAAAATCGACCGCGACTTCCCCGCATAGCCCTAAGCAAGCGGAATCGGGCAGTCGTGAGGGCTCTGAACCCAATGCTGGTGACCTATTTGGAAGCCAGCCGGGACCTTTGCGAGACGGACTCAATTATTTTTGGCGCCGCGCTGGCAGTCTGTCGTATCATAGGCGCCAAGGTTTCCACGGCTGGACGCGCTACTGGCCATAGTAGCGCTATCCCAGCATGGAGAAGAAGAATTGAGGAACGTATCGCAAAGGCTAGAGCTCTCATCGGCAGACTGATATGCTTCAGATCAGTCAACAACAGACCAAGAATTGTGCGCACCGTCAGGATGGCGTTTGCTGGGACAAATATCACTTTGTCCCAGCCGGATATAACGCAAAAACTGACGGAGCGCATAGATGATCTGAAGCAGAGAATCGCTGCTTGGGGAAAGCGGATTCGGCGATATACCGAGAGGTCGACACGGTTCAACCAGAATCGTCTCTTCCAGAGTGATCAGAAGAGGCTCTATGAATCATTGGAGCGACCAATGGTAAGTGGAACGGGTCCAGCACCGAATCAGGCCGACACTGTAGCATTCTGGCGCGGCCTGTGGTCAGAGCCCGTAAACCACGGCGAGGGCCCTTGGACGGAAGTTGTGGCGAGTCAGTGTGCGGGTATTACGCCCATGGACCCCGTCATCATAACGCCGGATGACGTAGCTGAGGCGGTTCCGTAGGGCCCCGATCTGAAAAAGTCCGGGGCTTGACGGGCTGCATCACCACTGGCTGAAGGGGTTCATGATGTGTCACTCTGTGCTCGCCCGACAGTTTCAAGAGGCTCTCAACCAGAAGTCGCTCCCAAGCCTCTTCACTACTGGGATCACTCATTTGGTTCCTAAAGACCAGGGTACCACAGACCCGAGCAAATACCGCCCCATCACGTGTCTACCGACCATATACAAGACACTAACATCCATTTTGAGCGCGAGAATCACTTGTCACCTGGACTCAAATCAGGTGATGTCGCGCGCTCAAAATGGATGTCGGGGCGGTGGTCGTGGAACCAAGGAACCACTCCTCATTGACCCGGTCATTGGCAATGTGGTGAAACGCAACCGTCGGAACTTCTCCGCCGCCTGGATAGACTACAGAAAGGCATTCGACTCGGTGTCCCATACATGGCTAAAGAGAGTCCTCGAGCTGTACAAGATTGACTGTACAGTTCGAGACTTCCTCGAGCAGTGTATGGGGCAGTGGAGTACAATCCTTTGTCATCTGGGCGAGCGGATGATGGCTGCGGAGAACCACATAAGGATAAGAAGGGGTATCTTCCAGGGCGATTGTCTGAGTCCAATCTGGTTCTACCTCTCTCTGAACCCTCTCAGTACCTTACTGGAGGGCTCCGGGAGGGGATTTCAGCTTCGGAAAGGAGGGACAAAAGTGACCCACCTTTTCTATATGGATGACCTCAAGTTATTCGCCTCCAGTCGCTCCCATCTTATGGAATTGCTAAACATCACTTGTGAATTTAGCAATTCCATTGGAATGGAGCTTGGGACGGATAAGTGTGCGGTCCTCCATGTTGAAAGGGGAAGGGTTGCTAATTCTGAGGGCGTAGACTTATCTATGCCCGTCAACTTAAGGACCCTTTCCGAGGCTGAAACATACCGATACCTGGGTATGTCACAAAACATCTGTATCGATGAGACTGGTATGAAACACTCAGTTTGCAACGTGTTTTATGCACGCTTGACCAAAGTGCTTAACAGCCTTTTGTCTGGTGTGAATAAGGCACACGCATATAACGGCTGGGTCATGCCTGTCCTCATGTATACCTTTGGCATACTCAGGTGGACTCAGACTGAACTTAACGTCCCTGGATAGAAAAGTCCGCACTACCATGACGTCCCATAGGATGCATCATCCGAGATCGTCGGCAAAGAGGCTGTACTTGTCGCGGAAGCATGGTGGTCGTGGCTTCTTGAGCGCGCTCACCATGCATAATCGCGAAGTGTGCGGCCTCCGTGATTACTTCCTGGCGAGATCGGATGATCCATTCTATAAGGACGTCATTTCTTGTGATAAAGGACTTACCCCTCTATCCATAGCCAACGAGCAATGGCAAGACCCGGCAGTGCAGAGCATTTCCGACTGGGAGACCGTATGGAAGGAGAAGGAGCTCCACGGGAGGTTCTACAAGGCTCTGCATGAGCCTTTCGTAGACACAGTAGCCTCCCTCCACTGGCTACGCTTTGGTGATCTCTTCGGGTAAACCGAGGGTTTTGTCTGTGCAATACAGGATCAGGTTATTAAGACCAACAACTATCGGAGATACATCTTAAAGGATGGCACCGTCGACATCTGTCGAGCTTGTCGCCATCCCGGTGAGTCACTTAGGCATGTTATCTCCGGTTGTTCGGCGCTTTCTAACTCTGAGTACTTGCACAGGCACAACCTAGTAGCCAGAATTCTACACCAGGAGCTCGCTCTGAAATACGGTCTCGTGGATCGGAAATTGCCGTATTACAAGTACTTGCCGGAAGCCGTGCTCGAAAATGATCGCGCCAGGCTCTATTGGGACCGGGCCATCATCACAGACAGGACTATTCTTGCGAATAAGCCTGATATTGTGCTGATGGACCGGACACAGTCAAGGATATTTTTGGTCGACATTACCATTCCGTATGACGAGAACCTCGTGAAAGCCGAAACAGACAAGCAAACAAAATATCTGGACCTGGCTCACGAGGTGACCGACATGTAGGGTGGTCTGCCGACCGAAATTATTCCTGTAGTCGTCTCTGCAAACGGGCTAATCCCAGTCAGCCTCTCGGGTCATCTGAGGCGGCTGGGACTACGTGGCGGACCGCTCTAGGTTCAAATGCAGAAGGCGGTGCTCCTCGATAACGCCCGCATCGTCCGCCGGTTTCTTTCCTTTTCCCCCTAACCCTCGGTCGTTTGGTCTCCCCCTGCCGAGGGCCTCCATCTGGTTGGGCTTTTATTTATTTATGTACTTTTATATTTATTTTATGTTATTGATATTTATGTATATTTATCTTTTCATTTTCATTTATAATTATATATTTATAGAACCAAACCAGATGAGAAAACTATATAGATACCCCATAAATAATAATAAAAAGGCGTAGGGAAGTGACGACCCCATCGCCCGCTGACGTAACGGTTATGTGACAAAACCGATACGTCAGCGCGGTCAGTCAGCACCTTGCCAAGAGGTGTTAGTACCGTGCCTCGGCAAAAATTGAAGGTGCAAAGGCCCGCTTGTGCACATGGCCTCACCATGAAACGGCGCCGGGTCTGGGCGTCTCCGGCTAAATGAAGCCCTAAAAATGGATGATGGAATTAAATAGAACGCGCAAAGGGCCGCTGCCTGCGACAGCATGCGAACCGCCAGCCGAGCGCGAGGTGCTGCACGACCACCCAGCAGCATCATCCTCACCAGCTGGCTTGGTGTCGGCAGGGTCTTCGCGGGCCCAGCAATCGGCACCCGCCACTGGTGGAGTACGCCGCATGCGTTGAACAACCCAGATGAACAGCAACGCGTTGCGGGCGTATTTTAGGGCGAAAGGGGGAGAAACTGGAGGTTTTGCGTATCGGGCAAGGATGCATCGACTTTTTGCTGAGCTGGAGCCATCTGTAACCGTCACCGAGCAAAACCTGGCAGACCGAGTTCGGTATATCTTGCGCTCAAATACATTTGATGTCACCGAACTCGAACGGCTACGACGTGAGGCTGTTCCTTCATCGGGTGAAAATGCTGCCGCTGAGAATGCGGCACCACAACTTGCTGAGCAAACGGCAAATGTGGATGCCGTGAATACGCCAGTTGTGGTTGATTCAAACGATGATGGAACAGTTGCCCAGTAACCGGAACTAGAGCAAATGAGGAGTACATTGGAAGAAGCGATTGTGGAAACGCGCAGTACGCCTCTCGAAAATCGACCGCGACTTCCCCGCTTAGCCCTAAGCAAGCGAAATCGGGCTGTCGTGAGGGCTCTGAACCCAATGTTGATTATCTATTTGGAAGCCAGCCGGGACCTTTGCGAGACGGACTCAATTCTTTTTGGCGCCGCACTGGCAGTCTGCCGTATTATAGGCGCCAAACTTTCCACGGCTGGACGCGCTACTGGACAAAGTAGTGGAGAATAAGAATTGAAGAACGTATCGCAAAGGCTAGGGCCCTCATAGGTAGACTGATATGCTTCAGGTCAGGCAATACCAGGCCAAGGATTGTGCGCACCGTCAGGATGGCGATTGCTGGGACAAATGTTAGTTTGTCCCAGCCGGATATAATGCAAAAACTATACCAGGGTACCTCATACCCGAGCAAATACCGCCCCATCACGTGTCTACCGACTATTTACAAGACACTAACATCTATTTTGAGCGCGAGAATCACTCGTCACCTGGACTCAAATCAGGTGATGTCGCGCGCTCAAAATGGATGTCGGGGCGGCGGTCATAGAACCAAGGAACCACTCCTCATTGACGCGGTCATTGGCAAAGTGGTAAAACGCAACCGTCGGAACTTCTCCGCCGCCTGGATAGACTACAGAAAGGCATTTGACTCGGTGCCCCATACATGGCTAAAGAGGGTCCCCTAGCTGTACAAGATTGACTGTACAGTTCGAGACTTCCTCGGGCAGTGTATGGGGCAGTGGAGTACGATCCTCTGTCATCTAGGCGAGCAGATGACGGCTGGGGAAAGCCGCATAAGGATAAGAAGGGGTATATTCCAGGGTGACTGTCTGAGTCCAATCTGGTTCTACCTCTCTTTGAACCCTCTCAGTACTTTACTGGAGGGCTCCGGGAGGGGATTTCAGCTTCGGAAAGGAGGTACAAAAGTGACCCACCATTTCTATATGGATGACCACAAGTTATTCGCCTCCATCGCCCATCTTATAGAATTGCTAAATATCACTTGTGAATTTAGCAGTTCTATTGGAATGAAGCTGGGAAACGATAAGTGTGCGGTCCTCCATGTTGAAAGGGGAAAGATTGCTAACTCTGAGGGCATAGACTTATCTATGCCCGTCAACTTGAGGACCCTTTCCGAGGCTGAAACATACCGATACCTGGGTATGTCACAGAACATCGGTATCGATGAGGCTGGTATGAAACACTCAGTTTGCGACGTGTTTTATGCACGCTTGACCAAAGTGCTAAACAGCCTTTTGTCCGGTGTGAATAAGACACAAGCATATAACGGTTGGGTCATGTCTGTACTCATGTATACCTTTGGCATACTTAGGTGGACTCAGACGGAACTTAACGGCCTGGATAGAAAAGTCCGCACTACTATGACGTCCCATAGGATGCATCACCCGAGATCTTCGATTATGAGGCTGTACTTGCCACGGAAATATGGTGGGCGTAGCTTATTAAGCGCGCTTACCATGCATAATCGCGAAGTGTGCAGCCTCCATAATTACTCTCTGACGAGATGATCCATTCTATAGGGACGTCATTTTTGTGATAAAGGGCTTACCCCTCTATCCTTGGCCAACGAGCAATGGCATGCATCGGCAGTGCTTAGCATTTCCGACCAGGAGACTGTATGGAATGAGAAGGAGCTCCACGGGAGGTTCTACAAGGCTCTACATGAACCTTTCGTAGACACAGTCGCCCCCCCTCAACTGGCTGCGTTTCGGTGACCTCTTCGGGGGAAACCGAGGGTTTTGTCTATGCAATACAGTATCAGGTTATTTAGACCAACAACTATCGGAGATACATCCTAAAGGATGGCATCGTCGACGTCTGTCGAGCTTGTTGCCATCCCGGTGAGTCACTTAGGCATGTCATCTCCGGTTGTTCGGCGCTTTCTAACTCTGAGTACTTGCACAGGCACAACCTAGTAGCCAGAATTCTACACCAGGAGCTCGCTCTGAAATACGGTCTCGTGGACCGGAAATTGCCGTATTACATGTATTTGCCGGAAGCCGTGCTCGAAAATGACCGCGCCAGGCTCTACTGGGACCGGGCCATCATCACAGTAGGACTATTCTTGCAGATAAGCCTGATATTGTGCTGATGAACCGGGCACATTCAAGGATATTTTTGATCGACATTACCATTTCGTATGACGAGAACCTCGTGAAAGCCGAAACAGATAAACGAACAAAATATCTGGACCTGGCTCACGAGGTGACCAACATGTGGGGTGGGCTGTCGACCGAAATTATACCTGTAGTCGTTTCTGCAAACGGGCTAATCCCAGTCAGCTTCTGGGGTCATCTGAGGCGACTGGTACTCCGTGACGGACCGCTCCGAGCTCAAATGCAGAAAGCGGTGCTCCTCGATACCACCCCGCATCTTCCACCGGTTTCTTTCCCTTTTCTCCTAACTCTCGGCCGTCTTGTCTCCCTTGCCAAGGGCTTCTTGTTTTTAGTTGTCAGAAATGCGTTTTAAATTAATTACAATAAAAACAAATTTCACTAAAAATTGTGTAATAACGAAACGCAAATATGTCAATTTGTTCTCGTATTATGAAGTAGATATCCGGTACTTTATTTGCTATTTTTGTTTTCAACTTAGGAGGATAGTCATGGTTAAGCACGAACCATATACACTGTTTTTTGAATTTCGGAAATGCCTTTTGAATTAATTACGATAAAAATAAATTTCACTGAAAATTGCATATAACGAAACGCAAATATGTCAATTTGTTTTTTAATACAGATACACTCATAAAAAAGTTAAACACTCGGACCCAGACAATCCATTTGTGGCTGGAGACGGGACTCGTATACATACAAATTGAGTCGCGGTGGAGAGCAGTTAAGAGGTTTTTCAGAAAAAAAATTATAACAATTCACATTACATTATTTCATTTACCTACTATCATAGCAGAGTTTAGAGCAACCAGACTTTACAGGTAAGATTGGTCGAATCGGTTCTGAAACCGAATTAGCACACCCCAACTTCACGTAGTCTTGTCTGCCCTACCCTAGAGTGTTTTTGTAAAGCCGCAGGCACAGAGGGAGAGCAGCCCACGCCCGCTGTAGCAAATCGCAGGCACCTAAGTGAGCCGTAGCGGCTAAGGCTGGTCGCCAAAGGCGACCAACAAGCCGAAGCTGCGGAAGCGAGCAAGGGTGCCTGTGATTTGCTACGCAAGGGCGAAGGGGCTGCACTTCCCGCGGTGCCAAAGCCGTTGTAGAAGTAACTTTGGGTCAATATTCCTGTATAAAAAAGTGAGGTTATGGTTTTACAAAAAAAATATTACCCGTAAACTATACATTTCCGAAATGGGGGAAGGGTAGGAGGGGCTTCCCATGACCCTCTCGCCCTTTCTAACACCATAGGGCCATGCAGAAGTAATTTTTGTTATTCCTGTATAAAAAAGTGAGCTTATAATTTTACAAAAAATTATTACTGATAAACTAGACATTTCCATAACGGGGGAAGGGAAGGGGGGTGATAATGATGATCCCAAATCCCCTCCCCTCCCCTCCCCCCTCCCCCTCCCAACACCGTACGCCAGTACCGGATATCTATAGCTTACCCTTAAAAAGTTTTAAGTAAGTTTGATAGGGCTATTTGCACATTCACATTTGACTTCTCACTTCCAGTGGATGTCTATAAAGACTGAGTCTAACCATTTTTATTAGAAAACTATTACTTTATTTCTATTTAAGAGTAAAATAAGAAAAACAACTTCGGTGCATTAGTTTTAAAAGATGAGGTCTGAATTCGATACTCGGGTCGGTCCTAAATCAGTTATTGTGTTCTATTGAACCTAATCCTATCACCTAGTTTGTGACTTAATGAAAAATATTGTTATTCAAATCGTGTGCTAAATGCTTATAAAACCAAAAGCTTGTTTGTGCGCCTATCATAAAACATTTTCAATGGAACCAAATCAACAAAAGTAGTAAGAAATACACACACAAAAATCAAAAGGTTTTGATACTATTTCATACCATTCTCTTTTAACAAAGACACGTCTTAACAGACCTAGGTTAGCTATTATTTTAGAAATAGCGTTTTTACGAGTTTGTCCTTAAACGGCAAGAGTTAGATATTATTAGAATCTATTTTTTACGTATGTTTACCAATTTCTCGGAAATAGCTGAACCAATTTTAATAATTTTTCTTTTAGTAAACAGTTTATACTAAAGGAGTGGTACCAAGCTTTTACGAAAAATTTTCACCCCTAAGGATGGTAAAAATGTGTATGAAGTTTTTATGTAACCATTTAGACGACATTTGAGTTGTTAACTTGAACATGTAATATGATTTTGTCCTCTCAAAAAGGTAAAATAAGAAAGAATAAAATAATTTCTACATAAAGCTGCTGAAGCCGAGGCTTTAATTTCAATGTACACTATCTCTGAGCACCGACTTTAGAAGGCTATTACGTGGAGTGTATTTCATTCTACTTATGTTTTTGAAGGAGGATTTACTTTGATTAAAACTACTTTTACGGATTTTATCGCGTTTATTTTACTTTTAATTACTTTTATTTTTAATTCCCGACGTTTCGGGCGCTTTCCAGCACCCATGGTCACGGGGGACTGAGATGACTGACGTCCCGATATCATTGTTAAACCCGGAGTACCTTCAGCTTTTTTAATTATTGTTTATGGTACGATCTATGCAAAATGAACTGACTATGTCCTGAGATCTTGCAGTAGTATGCTTGGGTTTAGTTTTAATTTTATTGATTATAGGATCCCAAGCAGGTGGTAGTACCCAGCCTCCTTCTCTATTGAAATTAGGATGTTTTTTTAATTTCAATAGCCTCACGTCACCGATTCCTACCAAGGATGATCCTTGGTAGGAATCGGTGTTCTTTCGCGAGTATTTGTATTTTATCAAATCTGATGTAATGGTTGGGGCCGTCTAGGATATGATCGCAACCTGCAGAC